CATCATCATCAACATTATTTTTCCATATATTTTATGAGGTCAAACAATACCAGAAAACAAATAAGACATTTTGTCTGTACTTTCTGTGTCATTCCTTTAACGAAACTATGACAGTGTTTTTTAAACTCATCTAGTTTGCCCACATAAAATCAGGTATGAAAAAACAGGGTCTCCCTGTAGCCCCAGCTGGTCTGGAATTCACTATGTAGACCAAGTTGGCCTTGAACTCACAGAGATCTGCCTGCCTCTGCCTCCTAAGCACTGTGATTAAAGGTGTACACCACTGAGCTCAGCTTGTTTTTAGTTATGTTTTGTTTTGTTTTTGTGTGTGAGAGGTTCTCACTATGTTGACATTTCTCTCCATATTCCTGCCTCAGCCTCCTAAGTGCTGGATTACAGACATGTGGCATCATACCCAACTAGCTCCCTGAGTCCTTCTGCCCAAGGTGGCCTGGTCATCGTACCCCAAGGAAAGGGCTGTTTCCGGCACTCAGTGCTGAGGTCCTGCCTCCTGCTGTCCCTGGAGGCTTTGTTCCCATTTTGCCAGCTATTTTGCTTCCTTGGCCATCTGTTCCCTTCCTGTCATCTCCTCTCTGCTTTAACCTTAACCACTACTTCACTGCAGATGGTACCAAACAGACCCGTTCTTGACATCCTTCAAGATGCCTGCTTCCTCCTCATCTCATCAGCACAAACTGCCCTGGCCTTTCTTAGGCCCCATTCCAAAGATATGTCCAGAGCTTGAAGGTAGATTCACCTAACAGGCTCCTCCTATTTGGGCCCCATCTACTATCAACTCTCCTCAGGAAAAGGGGGCAAATACCATTCCCTTCCTTTCCTTAACGAGACTTCCTCTTGTCAAACTCAGCCAAGAACCTCTCCTGGCTCTAGGCACACATCTGCTATGGTTCTCTACCTGGTCTCCACAGTGGTGTTGTACCCTCTTAGAGGGCTGGGGGGCTAGAAAATGGGGCAGAGCCCAGGAGATCTGGGGCTCATTCCTACAGTGGAAGAAGCAGTGTCCATGCTGGGAGTTTGGGTCCAGGACAATTTCCCTATAAAAAATGCTCCTGAAAGTTCTTTAGAAAGGAATTGACCCCATGTTGTCATGACAAAAACTGGATGAAAGCACACTATGTTGGCTGAGCTCACCGCTGTCCTTGTCTTACTTCTGGCTGTTGATGAGAATATGCATGCATGGGCTTTACTTAGTAACTTCCTCTGCCTCTCCTCTCTGCCTGGAGGTCCCTAAAATTCTCCTCTTAGCTTCCCTTTTCTGAAGCAAGGACTAGGAGCTATGAGGAGAGGGGTGGCTCCTGAGGGGTTAATGTTAAAGGAAGTATTTTGGTGAGGTTGGCTCTACCAAGCTACATTCCTAGATTGGGACAAAAATGTGCTGGAGACACTGAAATTCCATTTCTATACCTGGATTTGGGCTGAAAACAAAAGTCAAATATCTCAGCCATCTCTAGAAAAGATCTCCCATTTCCCTTCCACACTCTTCCCACAGTAGAAGAGTATCTTGGCCATCCTTGAGTTCTTCTTGCTTCTCTCCCTTGAGGCTAACAAGAGTCATATTAACACAATTCCGTGTCCTGGTTGTTCTCAAAGAGACACAGAGATGGAGCCTGTTCATACTTGCTGTGGGGAGACCCTCCCATCACTAAGGGAACTCTGGATGAAATCTATCAACCACCTGATAGCACCAGGATCCTTTTCTCCCTTCTCCCTCTGCTCCTCTTCTTCTCACAAAGGAGAGGCCCATCTCTGCTACCCAGGCCAGTCCATCTAGCTATGGAAACAGAGGGAACAAAATGCATCTTCCTGGATTACAGGCCTCAATCTAGCACATGCTAAATTATTTAGGGATGACATTAACTTATAAATGAGTGTGTTTGACTGATTTTGTGGTTGATGTACAGATAAATTCTAATGAAAGACAGCTACAAAATTTTAAATTATTAAATAGACTGCCACTTAACAAAGCCTATTTGGCACTCTATTTCCTTGCTTAACAAGACCAAAACTTTAAGGAAAGGTTCTGTATTAGCCCAGAGGCTCTTGATTTGCATTCTGTTTTTATAGCTCTAAAAATGAAAACCATAGATCCTGACCTTAAGCTGGCCACAGCAGAAGCCCCCAGCAGGCTGTCCTTCCTTCCTGGATGATGCTGGATGGCTCCGGGCCTCACTTGCCCTGATGCCTCTCATCTCTCTTGACCAGAGCCTTGCTTTTTACATCCCTGCTTCTGCCAGGGTAGGCTAAGAATTGGAAATGCAGGCAGAGCAGCTGCCCAAGCTTCCAGATACCAGCACTGCCGGCAGCTAGATTCCACTGGGGTGCTTCTGGTTCACAGATGTGGTAGCCAATGGAGTCCGTTTATTAAGAGATGAAGACATTCTCCCAAACCCCCAAAACAGCAAAACCAGGATAGCTTTACTTGGACAATGGGAAATCAAAGAGACTCTCATGGTCTAAGGTCTTTTCCCCTCCTCTAGAAAGGATACTTTCTTCCTTCTTCAAGCTCTTTCCAAATAATAAACTATTAAACTCACTCAGGTCCAGGATACCATGTAGGGCTCTGCACATGATAGGCAACAACCACTTCAACCCATCCTATGATATTGCAGTTTGGAGCCTCTGGGAACAATTCTATGAACAGAAGCTTCGGTGGCCACCTCCCTTGGCATTAGCCTGAGGCACATTTTTGGCTTTCTGCACACACCTAGAATCCACACAGAGAATCTGAGTATCCTCTTTGTGTGTGCAGAAGAAACAAATTCAAAGTATCAGATCAGGAACCCAGAGAGAAAACTGCCCAGGGAAAGGACCAAAACAAAAGTCATTTGCTCACAAGCTATCCTAGGGCCAGGCTCCAGGCCACCCAAAGCCCACCCAGGCCCAGCATGGGCTTCTCTGATCTGCTTCTCTCAATTCAGGTGCAAACCTCAACTAGTGGAACTTGAATTGATGGAACCTCTCAAGCCAACCTTCCTTGTGTAGGAAAGGGAAAAACAGCACAAGTGGCAAACACATGTGACTACTAAGCCTCCAGTAGCTGCCTCTTGAACCTCTTGAACCGGGTAAGGAGCCTTCCCCAGGGAACATCCCCCAGAATGCAATGGGCTTATCTAAAGCTGGGCCTCTGGCTAGTAAGGATATTGGAGAAAGCTCCTGGAGGCTCCTCTACCCTCACCTGGCACCTAAACCACACAAATAAAGTGTGTGGGCTGCTTTGTGGCTCATACTGTAAAGTGCCAAAAGACAAAAGACCAAACGGGAAACAGATGTCAGCTCTTCTCCATTATCTCCATCACAGACCTGCAGCCCAGACATGGCAGCCTTTTAAACCTGCCTGGGAAGCCTTCTCCACTAGGGCGAGTCTACATGCTCCAGGCCCAAGCTTCTCATAACTCCGCTGTCCTCCGAGTTGTAAAAAGCACCTTCTCTGTGCAGACACTGGCCAGCACTGCTGAGTGGCTGAAATGATTTCCTGTGTGTTTCTGCAGGAAAGGAACTGGGCTGTTAACAGTAAAGCGGTTTCTTCAACTACCGCAGAGACTTTTCCCACACCACAGTGAAAGGCAGCGTTTCCCTCCCCTCGCACTGCACCGACCCACGTGGAGGGTGCAAGTCACACACAAGTTTGTGACTATTCCTACACAATGGGGCAAACAAGCCTCCACAGTTGGCCAGAACCTGCACCACCACTCAGCCGTTCCTGCTCATACCGAAGGCGTGGCTTCTTCACCCACCTGTCTGACCTCCTTATCTGAGTCTCTCACATCACTCCTCATCTACTGCTCTCGGCCCATCTCCGGGCTCCGCTTTCCCCACCACCGCCACCTCCCCCTGCCGGTTTTCTCCTTCCCAATCCTGCTGTGAGGTCAGAATCCTGTGCTTACGACACCTCGGTCTGTTGCCATGGAAACAGGGGCGGATTAAGGCTGGAGCGCGGATCGCAGGGATCAGGCCCCTCCGCTACCTGAGCTCCCGCCTCAGCTGGCTCCCGCAGGGCGGGAGCTGCCAGCGGCTAGCACCTTGGCTCCACCGCCGCCCGGTCGAAGCCAGGGACCGGGGCGGGCGGGGAGGGGGGAGTCCCAGCGGGACTCTGGTATCTAGGCGCGGAAAGAGACGCACTCAAAGGCTGGAGCTGCGGAGTGTTGGGTCCGCGGCTCACGTGTGGGCACCTGCCCTTTCTGGGCCGGAGGGACAGCACCCATCGCAGCAACCACGTGGGGGCGCGGCAGGACTTCCCCGGTGCTGGCGCCAACTTTGCCGCGCTCGGGCTGCCAGGGAGTCTGGGTGAGGCGGTCACAGAGACAGCGCTGCTCAAGTTGAGCCTGGCTCGGGCCGCGCACACTGCCAGCACGGCCTTCGCCATCGGGTCCCTCCGATCCAGGCGAAAGGAAAGTTTGAGAAACCGGACTTCTGGCGCTTGCCACTCTCCACCCTCCGACACTGGATACTCAGAGCTCGTCCCGGGGGGATAAAGCTAGGATGCTTTTAAGGTGTCCGCGTCCGGGCGGCGCTTAGGCAGCTAGGGCGCTCGCCGGGGCCGCGCAGTGCCTGACCGCCGGCTGCACCCGAGCGCCGGCTGAACCTGGTCGCGCTGAAGCAGCAAAGGCAGGGGCGGGTGTCCGCGCAGGGGATGGAGCCTGCAAAACTTTATAATGGCAAAGCCAAGCTCCCAGGAGGCCAGCTCCCCTTTTACTAAAGGCTTTTCACTCAGGTCTCGGACTTGACCCCTTGGGCCAAACCCGCCAGGCCTGGCCACTCGATCCAGTGAGCAAATCCCATGTCTCGCAACAGGCCACCGACGGGAGCTGGGCTCCAGCAGCAGCCCTACCGCGGGTGCGTCCGACAAAGACAACCAGGTGTGTGTGTAGGGGCGAGGGGCTGTTTCCGGGACTCGTTTCCCCGGCCCTCCACCGCTCCCGGGCTTCAGGCTCTGCCCGGTGCGCACCCAACTCCAACTTGCCTCTGCGGTTCCAACTCACCTTTCCGAAGCATGTTGGCCGCGGGGCCGCCGCTCCGAGGTCGGCCTAGGCGCGCTCCCTCCTGGGGTACAGATTCAAATCCCTGGGCGCCAGCTGCAGCTAATCCGTGCGCGTCGAGGCGGGGGCAAGCCAGGGATCCGCTGGTGCCCCGCAGCCCGGCCCCGCAGGGGCATAATGGAGCTCAAGCCCCGCGCCGAGGGCACCGGCGCCCGCCGACAACCGCGGCGCTGCCAACAAACCCTGTGCGCTCGCTCGGCCCTGGGGCGATCGGCTTGCTTCGCGGAGCCGGCGGCCTGCTTCTGCAGCCTCAAGCACTTTGCAGGCGGTTTTGAGGGGGGACGCCGCCCCCTGGCCGGCCGGCCAAGGCCTCCCTCCTCTCCGCCCCCTCGGGCAGTGGCCCCCGCGGCTGCTGCAAAAGGGCGCTCTCACGCACCGCCACGCTCCGGGGAAAGCGCCCTGCGCGCGTTTGCAGGACCGAGCGATCCGCGAAGCGGGGCGCCTCCCTTCCTCCCCCCGGCTTCCCCCACTTCTCTTCCTCCTCCCTCCCTTCCTCCCTCGCTCTCAGCTCCCTCCCTCCCGCTCCGCTCCCCGCCCCCGCTCACAGAGCGCCTCCCATACAAAATTTATGAAAGTGCTCTCAGCTCGCGGTGCGGAGCGCCGTCCTATTCCCAGGGCAGCTGCGCTCAGCCGCGCGGCGCCGCCTCCCAAGGTGTTTTCGCTGCACCTGCCCCCGGGAAAGATCCTCTGCCCGCGCCTGTCCAAGTACCTGCCCCAGCGCCCGGCCGGTCGTCGGGCCACTGGAACCGCCCTCCCCGGTCCCCCGTAGGCTTCACGGAGCACGCACCCGCAGCCCAGCCCCCGCCTGCTCGCCCTTCGCCGCTGGAGGTCATCGGGAAAAGCGGCTGGAAGCGTGCGCCCTCCCAGAGTCCTGATCACAAGTCCAGTACCCTTGCTGAGTCTCCTCCCTGACCGACGCCCCTTCCTCCTGCAGGACCCGACGATTGTTCTCTGCCCGGAACTGCTCCCGCGAACCAGCTGGTCCCCCATCCCGAGTCCCAGTTCACTGTTCTTTGTGGGGAGAGAAGCGGGACAGCAAGCATTGGGGAGGTCCGGTTTCAAATCCTATTGAGAACTAATGTGAGGTTAAGGTGTGCTCTCTCGGGCTGGAGGACCGCAGGTCCCCATCGGTCTACAACAGACCCCGCCCCGGCCAAGGAGTCTCGGAACATGGAGGAGGCACCCCTTCGAAAGCGGTCCCGCTGGGGCCGTTTGGGCCGAGTGTGGAAAAGGTTCAAGTCAGCAGAGGTCCTGGATGGAGGCCGGCACCCCCTACTGGCCTGGGATAAGAAGGATTCTGAGCTGGGAAAGAGTGGGCCAGGTCATTCATTCTAACACACTTGAGTTTATTGTGTGTGCTACACTCTGTAAGGTCCCTCTCTTCCTGGAGTTTACATTCTAATAGAACCAAATGAGTAAAATCCAGATGAGATGGTAGCGCCTGCAAGAAAGACAAAACAGTATTGTTCTGGAGTTGACATGAGAGGTGCCTGGATTGGGTGAGGTGGGGTGGAGGAGCTGTCTTAAGCAGCTACCATCTAAGCAGAGATCTAACAGAAGTCCTCCGTGAAGGAAAACTTGGGATGATAGCTCAAAACCAAAGCCATTATCGTTCATGCACTCAACACAAGCACTCAGCAACCCAAGGTTCCAGTTTTGAGTTGAGGATCAAGGCTTCAGGACTTCCAGAAGCAGATGCGATGAGATAAGGAAGACTCAAGTCATCAGCAAAGGCAGCAACATCAGTTACAAGGTGTAGGAAGGGGCTCTGCTAGTTCTGCAAGGGTGTAAGGGCTAATCTGAAAAGGTGCCTTGAGGGCTGAGTTTAGGAGAACTAATGGACACCCAGGAAGGGCTGAAAATACAGATGTTTGAAGCTTAGAAGTAGCCTTATTTGGAGCATTCCTCACTTTGTTTTCCCAAAGTGAGGAATTTCTTCTCTTGGTCCCCTATAGCTGCAAGCCTCCACTGACCCCATACCCTTCTGAGCCCTGCCAGACACCAGAGCTAAACTGGGGCACTAAGAACTTTGGAAGACCCCCATGAATCTAAGGCCCAGAGAGGTTGAACACCTTGCTCAGCAACACACAGGAGATCAGTGTTGAAGTGTGGGCCTGAATCAGGGTATGTTAATCCTTTTTCCATCTCCCCAAGCCGCCTCCCCATGACCCTCCTTGCTCCACAAACTCCAATATATTGGGCAAAGTTGGGCGGCATGAGTGTGAGATGCAGTTATTTTGGGCTTCAGGAGGGCTGGGTGCTGTCTTGGAGTCCAGCCAAGGGATGGGGGTGGCTGTAAGTGGGTGTTGTGGTGTAATGGGGGTAGGTGTACACTGAGCCTGCCTTCTTGTCAGGCAGTAATTACTCAGACTGCTGAGTAATGCAGGAAGGGAGAGCCCCCCCCCCAGGGACAGATGGACATAACCTCAGTCCAAGCTGAATGGCAGACCACAGCGTCCTGCACTGCAAAGTCTTGGAGATACTTTCACACCTGTTTTGCCCTGAAGTTTTCCTAGGCATCACCTGGCTTCCTAATGAGAGCATGGCTGTTCATTTGGGACAGAGGCTATGCAGTAATGTTACAAGAGGATGGATCATATCAGGGAAAAGACCTAAGGGATGAGACAGCTGTTGGACAGATGCCCTTGCTCTGCTGGTGGTAATCTTTCCACCATGGAACAAAGCTAAAGACACAACTGAAGCTTCCAACAAGCAGATTGGGCCTTAATGTGACAAAGGTCCAGAGTGAGTTCTTGGAATTCAGATCCTGCACTGACTGGGGTGTGTGGGGTAGCTGTCCAGAGAAGCTGGACAGTGATGGGAGCCCAAGATAGATGCTTATCAAGGTGAAAGGTTGTTCCTGAGACCCATGCTGACTGCTTTCTAGGCCAAGCTGTATTTGTACTGAGGGTGCCAGGGCCTGAGGGGGCACTGACCCCCTTCTACCTCCTTCCTTGGCTGCTCACTCCCAGTCTGCCTACCCATCTCTCCTCTGGGCAGCCCCCATGGCAGGGCCTGTCCCTGGCTGCTTGTTTTCACATCTCTCTGCACCTTAATTTGGGGTTTCCAAGCAGGGAGGGCCTCCAGGGAAGCCTGAGGCCACAGAGCTGCCTTAAAGGGCCAGCTGTGCTCACAGAACCACTGCAGAGAGAGGTGGATGGGGCTGGGACAACACAGCCCTGGGGGACCATTGCTGCATGGGGCAGACTGCTGAGGGTCAGTCCTGCAGGTGCTTTGCTCTTCCAGAGGTAAGGCTGTCTCACTGACTGCTCAGCCTTCTCTTTGGGGGTCCCAGGAATGCAGTCCACTGATCAAGAAAGGCTGTCTACACCTAAGGAGCAGCCTAGACAGGACAAAGACTGGCCAGGATCCAGAAGGTTTAGAGAATGGGAGGCCTCAGGCTGCCCTCCCTTCCAGGAAAGCCCCCTCAGTTTCTGACCTCCCCCTGGAGTGCCAGCTTTCCCCCCTAACCCCCTACCGGTCAACCTTCCACATGGTGGGCTCCAGAAATCCACACCAAAATCTCAACTTGGAGCTGGGCTGGTAGGTCCTCAGCTCCATCCTGGTCGGACGGCACTGAGGTAGGGACTGTGTCCTTGCTGGGCTGACATTCTTGCATCAGGAGACAGTGAAGGTGGGGAGCAACAGGAAGACCTGGTTGGGTGCTCCACCTCCCAAGAGCCAGGCAACAGAACTCACGCTGGCATACAGGGACGCACTCGTTTGGGAGTGCCAGCTTTGAGCCTGGCGTGGGAAGGGAGTGGGAGGACAAGGTCGCGCACGAGGCCGTAGTGGTGGCCGGCGACCACTAGGGGACTCGGAGAGTCCAGACCTTTTGGGCTTAATGGGGCCTGTTGTAGCTCCGCCCACATCTCCTCCTTTCTAGCCTCCGCCCTACTAGAGTCGCCGCCCTTCGCTGGCCGATCGGTGTTCGACCGTACTGCCTGTGCTCTCCGCGATCTTCCTGCGCTGCCTTTTTGGTCCCCACGTGGGCTGGAGGGTGATGGCGGCGCTGGTGGTGTCCGAGGCATCGGAGCTGGGCAGCCGAGTCGGCCCTGGCAGAGGTGGGTGCTGCAACGCTGCGGCCTCCAGTCCTCACATCTCGGGTGGGCCCTCCAAGTACAGGAGACCCGGAAGTCCCCATTCGCTGTTAGCCGGGCCCCACCAGAGCCCCAGGGGACTGGTCTTCTAGAGCTGCCCTAGAACCACACCGTCCCTGGGCTGGGTAGACAGACACCGAAAGTGACCACAGGGAGGGAAGGACCAGGCCTCTTGCAAGGAGTCTCACAAATGTACTCTTGGGAATGCCTTTTTTTTTTTTTTAATGGGAAGAGGGCCTTGATAACCTTTACCAGGCACTAGCTGAGCAGCCACTAAATGCCAGGCCTGTGCTAGGTGCGGCGACTAGAATCCAGCCCAAGTCTAAGAACCTCACAGTCTACCTGGAGGAATACTGATGTAAACAAAAGATGACAGCTGTTTGATCAAGGAGGAGGTGCCTACGGAAGCCTAAGGCCAGCAGCTCCCACGCCCCAAAGACCACAAGAGACTTGGGCCTGTCAGAAGAGGTTCTACAAGAGTCCCAGGGAGTCCGAGTTAGTTGTCCAAGGCCATTGAAACAACTGACAAAAAACTAACAGTGGTAATTCGCAAATGTTTCAGGGCCTCAGCCACCATTGGCCCCTCCTCCCATCCCCCAAATGGGTGAAAACACATATCTGGGAGGATGCTTGGGACCCTAGCAGAAGTTCTGGTAGTCATACAGGCTCAGTAGGTACTCACTGTCTAAATTAATTTCTTGCCTTTTTGTATTTCTAAACTCTTTGGCTCTTAAAGAGATATGCAAAGGGTGAGCCAAATTGTGCTGCAGAGAGTAGGATGCCCAGGTTAAGGGATGCAGCCTTGCCAAAGTGCCTCAGTCTTTTCTTCCTCTTTTTTTAAAATCAGGAATTGAATTTTTAAAAACATTTTTTTATGCCGGGCGTGGTGGTGCACGCCTTTAATCCTAGCACTTGGGAGGCAGAGGCAGGCAAATCTTCATGAGTTCAAGGCCAGCCTGGTCTACATAGTGAGTTCCAGGCCAGCTGGGGCTACAGGGAGACCCTGTCTCAAAAAGACAAAAAAAAAACCAAAACATTTATTTATTTAGTGGGGGTGGGGGAGCATGTGTGTGCCACAGCACCTGTGGAAGTCGGTCTTGCCTTCCACCATGTGGGTCCCAGGGATGGAGCTCAAGTCCTCAGGCTTGGTAGCAGGCTCTTACACCCACTGAGCCTCTTTTATTCAAAGGGTTGTTTGTATACCTCTCTGCGCCTGCTAGACTGCCAGCTCCAAAAGAGCAAGGTCACTCTTCTGTTCTTGTCTGTCCACTAACCTGGCTAAAGTGTTTTTCTGTTCTTCCTAGGTTAATATTTCTTTGTTTTTTTGTGGGGGAGGGTGTTTTTTGGTTTTTTGAGACAGGTCTCCTGTAGTCTCAGACAACCTGGAACTCACTTTAGACCAGGCTGGCTTCTGCTGAGTTTAAAGGCGTGCACCACCGAACCTAGCAATGTTGTTTATTAGCTTTAAGAAAATGTTTTTTTGAGACAAGGTCTCACTGTAGCCTAGGTTGGCCTCAGACCCTAAGTGCTTGGATTATAGGCATGAGCTACCATGCCCAGCAAAAAAAAACATAAAAAATTACACACGCACACACACACACACACACACACACACACACACACACACACAGTGCTACTGGGAATTGAACCCAGGACTTTGTGTATGCTAGTCAAGCACCCTGCCGCTGAGATTTACAACTATTACCCTTCTTCACTTTTCATTTTGAGGCAGGTCTCAGTAAGTTGCCCAGCTAGCTGTGAACTTTTGATTTTTCTGCCTCAGTTTCCTAAGCAACTAAGGATTACAGGCCTTCTCTACCAGGCGCAACTGACTTGTATGTGTGTGTGTGTGTGTGTACATGTACATGTGTGAGTAAGGCTAGAAGTCAATGTTTTATCTTCCTCCATTGTTTTTCAACTTCATTTTTTTTTTTAATTAAGATTTTTTTTTTTTTTTTACATTTGGCCAGATGTGGTGGTGCATGCCTTTAATCCCAGCACTCAGGGGGCAGGGGCAGGTGGATCTCTGTGAGTTCAAGGCCAGCCTGGTCTACATAATGAGTTCCAGGCCAGCTGGGGCCATAAGGAAACCCTGTCTCAGACAAAAAAAAAAAAAATTTTTTTTATTTTACATTTGTGTGTGAGTGTGTGGGGATGCATGTATCACAGTGTGCATGTGGAGATCAGAGGATAACCCATGAGAGTTCTCTCCTTCTACCATGGGGGTTCTGGGAACTAAACTCAGGTCCTCAGGCTTGGAGGCAGGCACCTTTACCTGCTGAGCTATCTCTCCCACCCTCTACCTTAATTTATTTTAAAATTTTATTTATGTGTGTGAATCTCTGTGTGTGTAAATTTATGCATAGATACCCACAGACAAAAGAGGGTGTTCATTCCCCTGGAGCCACCCAACATGGGTGCTGGGAACCAAACTTGGTCCTCTGCAAGAGCAGCAAGAACTCTTAACTGCAGAGCCATCTCTCATCTCTCATCCCCCTCTTACCTTCATTTTTTGATTCACAGTCTCCCATTGAAACTGGAGCTCATTGATTCGGCTAGACTGGCTGGCTAGCAAGCCCCAAGAATTCTTCTGTCTCTGCCTATCCAGCTCTGGGATTGCAGGTGCATTATCATGCCCAGCTTTTTACATGCTTTTTATGTGGTTGCCAGGGATCTGAACCCAGGTTGCCCTGATTTTTGTTTTTTTGAGACAAGGTCTTACTAAGTAGGCCTAGCTGGCCTTGAACTCTTGATTCTCTTGTCTCAGCTTTCTGAGTGCTGGGATTACAGGTGTGCATACCTGTACACATCTGTGTGTTCAGGTGTACTGACATGCCCAGCTTTATTGCCCTTTTAAATGAGGAGAGGGAAGATTGCATAAATTAACCAATGTGGGCTTAGTCAGGGGACTTGAATTGTGTGACCAGAGACTCACTCCCCTTTGTTCCTTGGTCTTCATGTCATTTCTACTCTCCTGAGGTGAAGGGTGAGCCACCTATTGGTGGCTGCCAATAATCTCACAGCATAGAGGTTAATTAATGCAGATTTCCAGCTGGGTGTGGTGGCCCACACCTTTAATCCCAGCACTCTGAGAGGCAGAGGCAGGAGGAGCTCTGTGAGTTTGAGGCCAGCCTGGCCTATATAGTGAGTTCCAGGACAGCTGGGGCTACAGGGAGACCCTGTTTCAAAAAAAAAAAATTATGCAGATTTCCTTCTGTTTATGGGCTGTCTCCACCCGAAGGATGAATTCAGTTGGAGGAAAAGCTGGGTCAGCATCCTTTATGTCTGGAATCTTGGCCTTCAACTTGGAGTTAACAGCTTAACTGGGTCTAGCTGTTCTGTGGTCTAGAGCAGATATGGACTCATGCATTATATTTGTTCTAGGTCGGGTCCCTCGGGGCCGAATGGCCAATCAGATCCCCCCTGAGATTCTGAACAATCCCCAGCTACAGGCAGCCATACAAACCTTGCCTTCTAACTACAACTTTGAAATCCCCAAGACCGTCTGGAGGATCCAACAAGCCCAGGCCAAGAAGGGTGAGCCCCCAAAGCATTTAGCCCGAGTTGGGGTTGGGAAGGTTGCCTGTCCAGATGTGGGGCCATGTCACCCAGCCTCTTCTAGCCCTCTGTTTTTCACATCTGCTGTCTTGCAGTGGCCTTACAAATGCCGGAAGGCCTCCTCCTCTTCGCCTGCACCATTGTGGATATCTTGGAAAGGTGAGGTTTGGCCACTGGAGAGCAAGCTGAGCCTTTGCCCATTATAGTCTTGCCTGTCATTTTCTTTTCTGGACCTCTGCCTAACCCCTAAACCTCCTACTAGCATATACACACAAAGGAAGCAACTCAAAACAAAACTTGCAGCTTGCTGAGAACCCTGTTTGTCCATGTAAATTTCTCCTCCCCTATACAATCTGGGCAAAATGAAAGAAGTTAATTCCAGTCTCTAGGCCCAGCTGGTAGGACCTGGGAGGAACCTAAAAAGCTGACCCTGAAATGGACTCAGGGGTTTGGCTGTCAGGTTGGAGGTGGAGTGGAGGGGTGAGAGGCTGGGGTCCTTGAAGAGAGTGCATCTTTTTCTGAAGCCTCATATTTGGTTGGAGTGAGCAAGGGTGGCAGAGGAAAGCGATGTTAGGGGATGGTATTCAGTTCCCCTACCCCCTCCTAAGTTTCTTCAAGACAATGAGCCATCCCTTGGTGGGGGTGAGGGTGGGGGTTGTGATTGCTCAGCCATCTGGAACCAGCATGAGCACAGGATGGGGAATGAAGAAAGGGGAGGTCATCTCGTGCTGGGAACCCTCCCACTTCCCTGCTGCTGCCATCCCCCTCCTCCTTCCTGCTGCCTCAGACCCACTTCCCTGCTCCCACCCTCTTGCCCCTTGGGGATGCTCTCTGGGGCTCAGGCCAATTTGCATACATTTTAATCTATAAAAAATTAAGTGCTCTGGCTGACTCAGAGCCTGGGCTGCATTCTGAGGAGCTGAATAATCTGCTTCTGTGCACAGCCTGATTTGGGGAAGGGGGCGGAGGAGGGGGCTGACTGGCAGTAGCTCAGCTTCTCCCACTGCACCCCAGAGGAAGAATGGGTGAACCCAGTCACAGAGTCAGGTTCTATACCCCAGGTGCGGTCTCTTTCTAGAAGAGCTCCACCTTCTGCTCTGGTGAGTTTAGGGGGTACAGGGTCTTTCCTACCTTGCACCTCTTCCCGCCTCAGTGATTCAGTCCTGGCAGCAGATTTCATAACAATGTGCTGATCAGAGCCCCCCTCTTCCTGATGCATGAGCAGTGTGGGCAGTGCCGTGTTCTATTGAGGGGAGCCTCCCCTCATCCTGGGCACCAATGGCCTTGTCTGTAGGTAGAAACAGACATAGTGGGGTCTGGGTGAGAGGTCATTTGTATCCATATATCCATGCCCATGAATGCCAAGGTGTGGGACGGGGGGTTTTTATTTTTATTTTTTTCTTTCAGGTATGTGTATATCACTTGCTGCCTTGTGTAGGATGAGTCAGAACTTTGGGGATCTGTGTTGGACTCCATTCATGCATGGCTGAGGGTTAGGGCTCCTTCTTGCAGTCTGAGCCTGGACAGGGTGCTGCAGACATATCCTAATACAGCAACTGTTCCAGGAGCTGCTGCCAGGGCTGAGGGAGGTGGCAGCTGCAACCCTCCTACTCTTGGTTGGCAGCTGCCAACCCAAGGAATTGGAAGATGTGGAGAAAGAGGAGCTGGGTCCTGAGACACCTCCAGAGTTAGCACTGTCTCCCACCTCATTCCTTGTGTCACTGTTCCATTTTTCCCCACCTCCATCCCTACAGGTTCACAAAGGCTGAAGTGATGGTGATGGGTGATGTGACCTACGGGGCTTGCTGTGTTGATGACTTTACTGCAAGGGCCCTGGATGTCGACTTCTTGGTGCACTATGGCCACAGCTGTTTGGGTATGGTGGGCTGGGACATGTGAATATTGGTAGGGAGGCAGGCTAATTATCCACCATGGGGTCTGCTAGCTCTCCTTAAGCTCTCCCTAAGTCCTTTTTGGTTTCTGGGATGGCCTTGGCCTTCCTTCGGATTTGGTTGCCTTGGAAATCACACTAACTGTCTCAGTTGTGGATGTTCGATGTTTTTCTTTCCTTTGTTTTTTTGTTTTGAGTCAGGGTTTTACTATGTAGCCCTGACTGGCCTAAAACTCACTATGTAGACCAGGCTGGTCTTGAACTCACTGAGATCTGCCTGCCTCTGCCTCCTAGCAGCTGGGCTTTGTTTTGTTTTGGTCTTGTTTTTTAAAAAACTTATTTTTAATGTGTATGAGTGTGTTGCTTGCATATATGTAAGTACACCCATGTTGTGCAGTGCCCTTAGAGGTCAGAAGATGGTGTTGGATTCCCTGGAACTGGAGTTAAGGACGTTGTTAACTGCCATGTGGGTGCTGGGATCTGAACCCAGGTCTTAACCACTGAACTATCTCTCCAACCCATTTTGGTCTTTTTGAGACAGGTTCTCCCTGTAGCTCCAGCTGGCCTGGGACTCGCTATATAGACCAGACTGACCTTGAACTCACAGAGATCCACCTGTGTCTGCCTCCCAAGTGCTGGAATTAAAGGCCTATGCTACCACGCTCCACTTTTATTATTATTCTTTAATAAAACAGTGTTTTGACTGCATGTATGTAAGTGCACTCATGTCATGCAAGATGGAAGAGGAGGCTGGAAACTGAACCCTCTTCCTTTGGAAGAGCAGCAACTGCTCTTAACCGCTGAGGTATCCAGCCCTTTTGTTTGTTTTTTAAGACATAGTCTCACTGTGTAGCCCAGGAAAGTCTAGAACCTGGAGCAATCCTCCTGCCTCAGACTCCCAACTGCTAGGATTTTAAGTTTGAGCCACCATACATGGCAGATGCTGGTGTTTGAAAGGCTGTAGTTGCTAGAAGAGGCTGGGTCCCCAGCCAAGTCACAGACTTCCAGGGAAGGGATCTGTGGCCCTGCCCTCTCCCCTAATCCCTCATTCTCTCCCCAGGCTGAAGCCACTGCCCTGGCTGCTCTGAGACTAGGGCTGAGGCTGAACCAGGCCCCATGCTCCTACTGCCTTCCAAAACACTGTCCTGAACTCTTTTTTCCAGTTCCCATGGACACCTCAGTCCAAGACTTCCGGGTGCTGTATGTCTTTGTGGACATTCGGATAGACACTCTCCACCTCCTAGACTCTGTCCGTCTCACCTTTCCTCCAGGCAGTTCACTTGCTCTGGTCAGCACTATTCAGTTTGTGTCAACTTTGCAGGTGAGTAGATTGGGGACCACTAGCATCTTGTGGGGCAGACAGAGGCCACTTCAGCTGCTCCTGAAGTCCCGTGTTGGGTGCTCTGGACTGTTCCTCTGGCCTTGGCTTTCCCCCAGCTACTTGCTTCCCTTCCTTATCATTACAGGCAGCTGCGAAGGAGCTGAAAGCTGAGTATCATGTGAGTGTCCCACAGTGCAAGCCCCTGTCACCTGGGGAGATCCTAGGATGTACATCCCCTCGACTACCCAAGGAGATAGAAGCTGTTGTGTAAGTTAAAAATGGGGGCTAGTTTGTAGAGACATAAGAAATCCACTCAGGCCAGGCGTGGTGGCACACGCCTTTAATCCCAGCACTTGGGAGGCAGAGGCAGGTGGATCTTTGTGAGTTTGAGGCCAACCTGGTCTACATAGTGAGTTCCAGGCCAGCTGCGGCTACAAGGAGACCCTGTCTCAAAAAAGACCAAAAAAAAAAAAAAAAGAAAAGAAAGGCAATCAGGAAAGGAAAGAGCCTGAGGCTTATACGGGAAAAGAAACTTGAGTCTAAAGCTCCTAACCTGTGTGTTCAAAGTCACTCTGCAAAATGGGGACCAAATATTGACTATATTTCAGATTACTGGCTCTCTCTCCAGTGTTATGTCCTTCATCCAGAAAAATTGTGCCTAGGGTGGGGATAGAAATCGGAGAGCCTGACTGGGGATGGGAGGAAATCAGGGTGGGTAGAAGCAGAGGGAATATAATTGGAGAAGATGGATGGGCACGCCCAGGCTGCATCCCCATTAATTTAGCATCCGGACAGCTAACAAGCAGGAGCAGTGTGTCTCCTGCTGCCTAATTATTTTAGGTAATGGAAATGCTTAATGTTGTGTGAATGCAACCAGCTTCAGACCCAACATCTCCTCCGGCTGGGAGGGACTGGGGAGGGAAGCCAGTTCCTTGCTAACGGCAGGAAAGAAGGGAGGGAAACTCTGACTCAGCTCCACCTCTGGGAGCTTTGGATACTGGTTTTACTAAACCCACATTGGATACCCCTACCCCTAACAGGCCCACACCAACCCAAACCTGGCATCCCTGCTCCCTGAAGGGCATGCCCCATGTTCTTATGCCTTCATAACCCTAAGCCAAAAGGATGCCTACCCTTGGGCTTCAAGATGTGTGTTGAGAGAGGGATACCCTGAGTGCTGGCCATTCACCAAAAGGAGGTATGGTCTCCATGAGAGAGAGAAGCAGCTGCCATGGATGGATTATCTTACAAGCTCTGGAGTCTTGAGGGCTTTGCTCCCCAGGCTGTGTGAAAGATGGCATCTCCTAGGGCACATTTGGTACAACCTAGTGGTAAAGCCTGGCATCAAGTCTCAAGAACACTGCTTGACAGCTGTGTAGCTTTACGCAAGGGCCCTAACATCCCTAAACCTCGGGTATATCTCCTGTACAGTGGGGATATTGTAGGTGTTTTAATATTTAGGTTTTTAGTCCAGGCCTGGAATTCAAAAGGCACAAGTACAAGAAATAGGCTGTCGTTATAACTCATTTCTGGACCCAGAGTTGCTTTGGGGAGAGAATAGCCAGTGTTTACACTGGAACCTCATTTATAGTATGGATGACATCCTGAACATGATTTCTCACATTCGTATTGCGCTTGATAAAGAAGAACCTGTCCCCAGTTTTCATATTAGGGTCTCCAGAGTTCAAGTGGCCTTTCTGTGGCCTTGGCACTTCCTTAACTCTTCCTTTAGAAGACTCTGCAGCTAGAGGTGTCTCCTAGGCATCTAAGTCCAGCTCTTCCCTTTCCATATGAGAAAACTGAGGGTCCAAGAGGTGAAATGGTGACTGTGTTACCACAGAATCAGCAGTATGGGCAGCTGAGATCTCAGTCCTCTGGACCTACCTGAAAGCCAGAGCACTGCTTTTGCTACCCCATGCCATACTTACAGCCTCTTCTACCCTGCAGGTATCTTGGAGATGGCCGTTTCCATCTGGAGTCTGTTATGATTGCCAACCCCAATGTCCCTGCCTACAGGTATGGGTTGAGTGGGGCTGAGCAGCAGTGGAGGGGTGAGAGTCTGCCCCGGAGGCCCTCAGTAGGCTGAACCATCCTCCATCCATGGCCACTAAATGGCATCTTAAGGATCTGAGGTACCTGACTCCTACATCTGGCCTTTAGGCCCAGGGCTGTTCTTGTCCCCGCTAGGATTCACACCAAGCTCCTAAAACACTCTCCCATTCTCACCTGCTCTAGCTGTGGGACTAAGCTCCCCAGTAACAATCCTTGTTCCTGTCTAGGGCCAGATTTCCCAATTACCTGCTTATATCTTGTGTCAGGAGCCACTTAGACAGCATGACTCTGGGCTGTCACAGTGACCCTGGCAACTTCTTTTCCAGGTATGATCCATACAGCAAAGTCCTAACCAGAGAGTACTATGACCATCAGCTCATGCAGACCACTCGCCAGGAAGCCATAGCCACTGCCCGTTCAGCTAAATCATGGGGCCTTATTCTGGGCACTTTGGGTCGCCAGGGCAGTCCCAAGATCCTGGAGGTGAGAGGGCTGAGATGGCATCTGGAGGAGGGGGCTGACAGGAAAGCAGCTGAGAAAATCAGTAGACCAAAGTATCTAGTTTTGGCTGCTTTATCACAGCTTAGCCTCCCTCTCCCAACAGCACTTGGAATCTCGGCTCCGAGCTTTGGGACTTCCCTTTGTAAGGCTGCTACTCTCTGAGATTTTCCCTGGCAAGCTCAGTCTACTTCCTGGAGTGGATGTGTGAGTTTCCTCACCTCATCTATGTAGCCCTGCTGGCTAAGGAAGCTTAGAAACAGGGTTAGAAACAGGGTTCTGCCCAGCATACTTATGGTTGTAGTCAATGGGAATTGTATACATGGTCATGAAAATTTAATATTTACCAAGCACTTACCCTTCAGGCACCATCTTTATATATTTTTTTTTGTTGGGGGGGGTGCTTTTTGAGACAGGGTCTCTCTGCAGCCCCAGCTGTCCTATGTAGACCAGGCTGGCCTTGAACTCACAAAGATCTGCCTGCCTCTGCCTCCTGTGTGCTGGAATTAAAGGCGTGCACCACCACGCCCGGCTATATATATTTTATAAATGTATTGCCTGCATGTATGTGAGTGCACCTGTGTTGTGCGATGCTGCGGAGGTCAGAAGAGGGCTTCGGATTCCCCTGGCACTGGAGTTAAGGACAGGTTGTGGCCACCATGTGGGTGCTGGGACTCAAACCCAGGTCCTCTGCAAGAGCAGTCAGTGCCCTTAACCCCTGAACCATCTCTCCAGCCCCTATTTTTTTATTTTTGATGTGTATGCGTGTATTGCCTGCATGTAGGTAAGTGCACCCATGTCGTGTAATGCCTGTGGAGGACAGAAAAGGCTGTCAGATCCCTTGGAACTGGAGTTAGGGACAGTTGTTAGCTGCCATGTGGGTGCTGGAATTCGAACCCGGTCTTCTGCAAGAACATCCAGTGTTCTTAACTGCTGAGCCATCTCTCCAGCCCCCAGGCACCATCTTTAACCATGGGCCACCTACTTTGTCTGGCTTTGGGACTCAGGCAGAGGCAATATACCAGTGGTTCCAGTGAGATGAGTATGAGAGCACCTGCACCGTACAGTGTACTAAATTTGGTTCTAGAGACATGATTACAAATGAGCTGCCCTCAGAGTTTTTAAAGGAGTGGTGAAATGGCTCAGCAGGTAAAAGCATTTGTTAAGGAAGCCTGATGAGTTTGATCCTCTCAAAATTAATTTTTCTTTTTTTGTGTGTGTGTGTGTACATGCATGCGCATGCATCATTGCTTATGGAGCCCCAGTGTTGATCCTCAGGCACTGTCTATACATTTTGGGTTCCAAAAGCTCAAGTCCTTGGCTTGCAAGGTACTCTTTTACCAACTGAGCTATCTTCCAGCCCAGCAGTATGGTATTCTAGACAGCAATAGGTAACAACAGTCTTTAGGATTAATAAATTCTGTTGATTAATAGGCATGTTGGGACGGGGATGTTCAGTGTGGTGTCCCAGAGAGAGGTGGCTCTCATCTCATGTCTGATTTCCTTTCATAGGTGGGTGCAGGTGGCATGTCCACGGCTCTCCATTGATTGGGGTTCAGCCTTTCCCAAACCACTGCTGACACCCTACGAGGTAACACCAAATTTTGAAAATCTGCTGCAGTGGGTTTTATACCTCCTGTCAAGGGAGGGCTCTGGGATGGCTGGCACAGGTGAGCAAGCAGCACTTAGGGTCACAGGTTCAGCTAAGCCACTGCCCTGCTGAGTCACTTTTTTGTTTCAAGGCCTCCTATAGGTCAGCCTGGCCTGTCTCTAGAGTGCTGGAAGGCCTGAGCTACTGCAGCCGACTCCACCTAGCTTTGTGCCAGTCTCGCCCTCTCTGATCCTCACATTGCCTTTCTGCAGTATGGGGGCAATATATAATCCTTCATAGGCCGGGGTAAGGATTGAATTTAACCCAGGGGTGTTGTTGCCTTATTCTCCCCTAGGCGTCCGTGGCCCTGAGGGACATTTCCTGGCAGCAGTCCTACCCCATGGACTTCTATGCCAGTAGCGGCTTAGGGCCGTGGACAGTGAACCACGGCCGGGATGCCAAGCCCCAGGGCCCTGGCCCACAAGGGCTGGGGAAGGTAGGCGGGGACTTCGGGGTGGGGGGGGGAGAGGCAGCTGAGGGAGCTGCCGCCCTGGCAACATGTGCCAAGGCCGCCGCCCCGAGGCCGCTGGGGGAAATGCAATGGAGCCACGTGGAAGTGGCAGGAACCAGACCTCGATTTGTCTGTGACTTCAGGTGCCAGAGGGGTTCGGAGGCCCCGGTCCTGCGGCGGCCTGTGAGGGGTGCAGCTACACCGACCGGAAAGCCGCCCCGCCAGCTCCCTGAGGCACCTATGACCTGCAGGTATTTCCCCGCCCGCCCTCTCCAAGGCTTGTTTTTGGAGTGTGGCTGGTGCTAGCCCCGCCTCTCACAGATTCACTTCCGCTTGGGGAAAAGCCCGCTTCCGGGGCTTGTGGCCGGCTTCTCTCTAATATGGCGGCGCGGCAGCCGCTGAGGGTCTTGTGCTTGGCGGGCTTCCGGCAGAGCGAGCGCGGCTTCCGTGAGAAGACCGGAGCACTGAGGAAGGCGCTGCGAGGCCGGGCCGAGCTCGTGTGCCTCAGCGGGCCGCACCCTGTCCCCGAGGCAGCGGGCCCCGAGGGCGCCGGGCCGGACCCGGGTAAGACCGGCCTACTGGGAAATGCCCGGCCTAATGTACCCCACCTCTCACCTCCCACCCAGGCACCCTGCCCCAGACGCGGCCTTGCGCCCCCAGGTCCCTGTCCACCTTCTTCCAGGCCTCCTCCCCTGTGCCCCCAGTCGGCCTCCCTCTCTCAGCCCTTTCCCATCCTCCTGGCCTGATGCATGCTCTTCCACGTGCTTCTAGGGCCCTGCGCTCCGGAGGAGCAGCCTCGAGGTTGGTGGTTTTCTGAGCAGGAAGCAGACGTTTTCTCCGCGCTGGAAGAGCCCACAGTGTGCAGGGGCCTGGAGGAGGCCCTGGGGACGGTGGCACAGGCTCTAGACAAGCGGGGGCCTTTTGACGGACTTCTGGGCTTCAGCCAGGGAGCTGCACTAGCCGCTCTTGTGTGTGCTCTGGGTCAGGCAGGCGATCCCCGATTTCCCTTGCTGCGATTTGTTATACTTGTGTCAGGGTTCTGCCCCCGGGGCCTTGACCTCAAGGAACCCATCCTGCAGAGCCCCTTGTCACTGCCTTCACTTCATGTTTTTGGGGACACTGATCGAGTCATCCCTTCTCAGGAGAGTATGCAATTGGCTAGCCGATTCCCTGGAGCCATCACCCTCACCCATCCTGGTGGTCACTTCATTCCAGCAGCTGCATCCCAACGGCAGGCCTATCTCAAGTTCATGGACCAGTTTGCAGAGTGAAGGATCAACAACTGTCTCTGCATCTCCCCCACACTATGTTCCAGCAGCCTCTGCTGTCTGATGCCAGTCCTGTTCTCACCAGGACCAGTTAGGAGACAACTTTCAGTTCTCAGGACTCACATAAGCCCTGCCCATTCCTGGAGTAAAGGGGAGCAGGAGGCCTTAATGGACTTTGATACTCAAACATGAAAAGACCCCCGAGCCCTTAAGAGGAAGGTGATGGGCAAGCTGGGGCTGGCACCTTCGTGACTGCCACACAAAGTGATGGTTTGGACTGTGACTATCCCTCCTGGTAAGCAGCCAAATGGGCAGCACCAATCTGGGAAGTACTTCCACTTATGAGCCCTTAGAACACATATTTGATGGACATTTTGAATCCCAGACTAAGGAAGCCAGAGGTCTTGGTGGCTGAATCAGAGAATTTGCATCTGAGGAGTTTGGGGGAAGAGAACACCAAGCAAGACTCTGCCTGGGTTACGTGATTTTTAGGCGTCCTACATTCCAGTCTCTGAGAGTGGGGGCTTGTTTTTCCCTCTTATGTTTTTGACTTTCTCTTTTATAACTGTCCTATCACCTTTGAATTCTGAGCTTGAAGAGTTGGATGGTACCAGATATTGGGTAAAGACCAAAGGCAGCACAGAATAAAGTGCCTTTTCCTAATGACCCCATCTGCAGGGTTTCTGAGATTAATGCTATTCACACTGATGCTAATTGTCATTGATGTGATAAAGCCAAGGCCTCAGTAGCCCAGCTGGTTTGCCCTTGGGGAGTGGAGTCAGTCGCTGGGCTTTAGGGACTCCCCTCCTGACATTTTCTTGCTTTTAGTGCCCTCCCTGCTGCACACCAACACACACTGCTCTTTGACTTCTTTCCTGCCTCTGAAAGATATTCCTTAAACTTCAGAACAGGTCCTGTCTAGTCCTAAGCCATAGTAGCTCCCAGGGAACTTAGTAACTGAACAGGAGTTAAGTTTGGCACAAATACTCAGCCCATCCTTCTAACAATTACACACACAGACATGGTTCAAGATACAGACCAGAATTACTACTAAAAGGCCCAGTTTTAGAACCCTTTATAACAGAGTGTGTGTTAAGTGAGTTGGTCTCTGCCTTGCTCTTGTCTCACAGGTTTCTTGGCAAAAGGGGACTGCAACAGACTGAATTACTATTAGATTGGGTCCACTAGGATTCCTTGCTTATCTCTAAATGCTGGATTTACCTGCTACCCCCTTTAGCTGTGGCCAAACTGGGGAAAATGATGACTTGTACTCCCCAGTTACTGCTGCTTGGGAGTCCTGTGAAGGTTAAAGGAAAGGGGGAAATCCACAGGGAATGGTCTTTAAACCCAGACTTAACATTGAAAGGGAGGAGAGAGGATTAGGGCAGAGCCTTCCTAGGTGGAACAGAAGTGCTCAAGCTTGAACTAAGGGTTTCTCCCAAATTCAGAATGCCTAAGTTATTGATCTGGCTCCCAACAAGTGGGATATGTCACCTCCCTTTGTGCAGGCTGTACCTCAGTGCTACCACATGCAGATTCTGTGGACTGCTTACATGAGAGCATTTGTTAAACTTGCATTCCTGGAGCCAACTGTAGACCTGTTTGACAGACTGTCCCTGGTCATTGCTGATGTATTGGAAAACCTCTGCCTTGGGTAGAAGAAACATTTCTGGTTATGTTTGTGATTAGGAAAGCACCCCTAATGTGACTCAGAATCCCCTAGGGAGGAGGGAAAGCAAGGTCCCTTGAGGAATCTCTGCTCTAACATTTCCAATTTAGCTGAGGCAAATGAGGTCCAAAGTCTAGAAATAACATTTATTGAATACTAGCTGTATACCAGACTTTGGGACAGGCAGAAGCCTTACCAGTCTATTCGTTTTTGTTTTGTTTTTGTTTTTAATTTATTATTGGTTTGTTTTGGTTTTTTTTTTTTGGTCTTTTTTGAGACAGGGTCTCCCAGTAGCCCCAGCTGGCCTGGAACTCACTGTAGACCAGGCTGGTCTTGAACTCAGAGATCCGCCTGCCTCTGCCTCCCGAGTGCTGGGATTAAAGGCGTGCACCACCACGCCCGGCCAAAAAAAAATCTATTATTTTTATGTGTATGAGTGTATTGCCTGCCTGTAGGTAAGTGCACCCGTGTCGTGTCGTGCAATGCCTGCGAGGACAAAAGAGGCCATTGGATCCCCTGGAACTGAGTTACCGACAGTTGTTAGCTGCCATGTGGGTGCTGGGATTCGAACCCGGGTTTTTTGCAAGAACAACCAGTGTTTTTAACTTCTGAGCCATCTCTCCAGCCCCTAATTTAGTTTTGATACCAGGAATCAAACCCAGGGCCTAGGCATGCTTACCACACACTACCACAGAGCGCCAGCCTAGCCTCCTTTATTGCCTAGTTTCATTTTATGACTTCATGAGATTAGTACTGTTATTACCCTAGTAACCTAATTTTACAATTGAAACAGGCACAGAAAAGCTAACTCAAGGTTGGATGATTCAACTCAAAGAACACACACTGTTGCCTGTTTTTAGTCATTCCCTCTACCTTTTTTTTTTTGATGTACTATGCTACTATGCTGCCCAGTCTGATCCTGGACCTCCTGGGCTCAAAGGGTTAACCTCAGCCTCCTGAGTAGCTGGGACCACAGGTGCACACCACTGCACCTGGTTTTAGTCATTGTTTCTCTGCTGCCCTGAGGAAGATAAGCAGAAACTACCACTCACTAGGGGCTAAGTATCCTATCTGGCCTCAGCCTGGCAATTGGTAAAATATGGTTGGATAGGGTAGGAGGGTTACACTAAATGCCCTCTAGGATACCAAATATTGCAACATTGTACAGTCAGCTGTCTGCTTCTACCCTCTGACCACATTCTTCAGATGAGTTCAATCTGCAAAGGACTTGGCCTCTTCAAAATACCCCTAGCATTCTTTTCTCCCTCTGGAATTTCTAAAGCTCTGGGAAGAGTATCCTAGCAGAGTCCCTTAACTAACCCTAGTAACAGAGTATTTGCCCAAGGACCCAGAGCTAGGGTCTGCTCTCATAACCCCAAACTGCAAACATATATATATAGCCCAGTGAATATGTAAGATCGAAATACTGTGTTTGCAGTTTTTTTTATTTCCTAGTTGATCCTCAGGATATACCTGTCAAGAGGGATTATCCCAGTTTATAGAAAAGTCAAACAGAATATGACTACTCAACCATCAGGTGATAAAGTGGCCAGGGGTCCTCCTGCTTCCCAGTGTACAGCTCCCACCTGCATATAAGTTCTCCCACACGTTTACCAGAATCTGAATCAAGTACTGTAATCCAAGACCTCAGGATCCTGAGCAGGGCGGAGGGAAATAAGGCATCATTCCCTGGGAATCCAGCATTGCTTCAGAATTTAGGAAAGGATGGAGTATGTGGAGTGGTATCTCCCAACACAATTCCAGAAGTCCCACCTAGTATTCCTGACAGATCCCTGTAGTGATGGCAGTGACAGGTATCTTTTTTTTTTTTTTTTTTTTTTGACAGGGTCTGTCTCTTCTCCCTGTGGCGCTAGCTGGCCTCAAACGCACTGTAAATTAGACTGACCTCAATGTCAGAGATCCGCCTCCTGAATACTGGGCTTAAAGGTGGGCTTAAGGGTGCATGCCACCAAGCCCTGCCATACTTTTTTTTTTTCCTTTGGAGAGGTCACTGCCCACGCTTCATCGGCAGAACAGGACTTCAACCCCCTGTGGTACTCCTTTTTGGGGCACATTTGAGAAATTTAAATTGGAATTCAGCGCTTGGAGAGAGTCTGAGGTGAGGGTGCCAATACGTTCAGACAATGCTTTAGGGCTCAGGTACCCCTTACTAGCCTACCAGCTTGAGGGTTAGGGACCCTGGTTATCATCCATGACTCAAGAGAAAGTTGGGAAATGGAGCCGGGGGAGTCTCTGGCTCTATCATGAAATGAATTCTATGCCCTCGGACTGCTCCCTTAGGAATTTCTGGAAGAAAGGTGTGATAAAACCTTCCCCCCTCCCCCTATTGGTGACTCCTGGTCCCAGCAGCTTTCCGAAACCCTTGAGGCGGTAGGAATCCTTATCACAGAACCACCCTATTTTCTTGCCACGCCTAGGCAGGGATACTTCGACTGGGAAGACAGTTACTGGACGGTGAGACATAGGACCTTGCTTCCTGTAGTGCCTGGGTGGATGCACAGCACACCTCATAGGACCAGCCTCCGCCTGGCTGAGCACACCTCCTGCCACCCCCGTGGGCACTTGGGGTGTGGCTTCGCCGCCCCCGCCTCCTCTTGCTCTGCGACTCCCCAAGCCGGGGCTGGCAGAGTGCGGCATGGTGGGGAGCGTGGGCGTGCTGCGGGGCGACCATGGCTGTAGACTGTTACCTCCGGTTCCCACAGTAACAGTCGAAAGCCACGGTTGCCCTGGAGACGCGGGGGCGCGGCGCGCTCAGCTGACGGCACCGCAGCGGCTCCAGGCTGGCTGACGTCAGCACCGGGGGGAGGGGGCGCGGCGCGGGGTCTATGCGGGCGTGCGCAGGGCCGGCTCCCAGCCGAGGCTGGGGATCCCGGCCTGGCCGCCCGAGGGTGGCCCGCGCTGGATCAGCACCGCGGACAGCGGCGCCGCCGGCTCACAACGCCGGGCTGAGGGACCGAAGGAGCGGCGAGGCCGGGCGGCCGGGTCCGCGGTCCTGGGGCGGGGCCAGGCGTCGGTGGCCGTGACTGGAGACTGTTACTGAGGGCGGCCCGGGCAGTAAGCAGTCTAGAGCCAAGGTGCCGGCGCGCTGCCCGGGCGGAGCTGTCCCGGTCCCCGCGGGTCCCGGTGCTGCTGCTCCTCACGCCCACGCCTCCCACTTTTCTCGGCCCCGCACTCTCGAGGCCGAGCACGCGACCTCTGACGTCAGAGCCCCGTGACGTCAAAGGCGTCCCAGCGGGGAGGCACTTCCGGCTGTGGGGGTGGGGCGGGGCGGCCCTGCTGAAGCCCCGCCCCCTCCTGGTCCTGAGAGGACAGCTCCACTCGCTGAGGCTAGAAGTCGCGGGCGCGGGGGACGGCCCGATGGGACAGGCGGGGACGGGGAAGGGGCGCCAGGGGGGCATGCGGGGCAAGGATCCCGGGAGCCGCAGCGGGCCTGCTGGCAGGTGGGCGTCTGTCGCCTGCGCCCCCGCTCAGCCAGTCGTGGCCAGCCAGGCTGAGTCACCGCTCTGCGGAGAGGGAGGAGGGGGTTCGTCTCCCGGGACCAGCACCTTCTCCCCACTTTCTCAGGATGGCGCAGGAGCCCGGCAGCCCTGGGGAACGGGGTGGGGGTCCGGTTCTCCGCTCCACGCTCCTCCGAGGTGGCTGCGTCTTCCTCTAGGCGCCGCAGGTGCTGCGCGGGGTTGTCAGCCTCTGGCCGCTGCTCACCAGGCTGCAGAGAGCCTTCGTACCTCCCACCCTGTCCCCATCCCCAGGCCGGGACCCTCCAGCCCGCCGCCCGCGGGGCCACTCTTATCCTCCCCCCGGTGTCCGCCTAGCGGCCCATCTGTAACCCGTCGGCCGCCCTTACCTGGCGGGCCGCGTCGCGCCAGTGCCGGCTTACCTCCCGCAGCCAGGCAGGCGCCGCGGCTTTTATAGGCGCGCATAGTACTCGTGCGGCGGCTCATTCATGCGGCCGCGGCTCCTACACACTGACGCGCTGCCGACGTCAGCGGGGAATTTAGAAAACGGGGAAAAGGGCTATTTATAGTGCGAGGCGGGAGGTGGGGGGACTAAAGCGACGCGGAGTTGGGAGCGGGAGGAGGGTGCGCTCGCGGAAGCCCGCTCGGGTAGGGGAGTACGCAACACTAATCCTGGCCTTCAATGGGTTAACTTTCCGGAACTGCGGGCTGCGGGCCGGGGGAGGACAGTGCAGGGAGGGTGCGGCCCCGGTACATGTTTATTCACGCTCCCGTTCCGGAACTCTGGGACTCCGGGGACCCAGTCTTCTCATCTCCTGGACCTCGGGGGTCCTCACCCGGTAGCCCCCAAGCACACTCCTGAATTCCTAGACCGGACGGCTCTGTGACGTCAGAAGATGCCCCGCGGCGGCATCACACCCCAGATGACCACTGTGGTATCCTAACCCTCTCTTGGGGGTCCTAGGAAAGGAAACTGGGCCCGTCTAGGTGGGGTCTACAGTTCACTTAGACGTCTCGTGGAGTCTGGGCGCTGGGAAAAGAGGGAGAGCTCAAGAGTCCTGGAAGGCTTCTAGACTGGACCTTGGGCCAGAAGCTCCCTATCAGATGGTGGAAATCAGAAGGCAAAGAAGTTGAAATGAGCTTCTCAGAAATGAGCAAAGGGTCCTTATGGAGCCGCACTGGACAAAAGGAACGGCTCGTGGAAGGGAGGACAAGTTGTCAGTGGCTAGCTTGGCATCAAGGGGTCACCTCAGCACTCAATGGTAATTGGCAGAGTCCATGAGAGGATGAATGAGACCAAAGGCTCAGCAGTTTGGCAGAAAGAATGTCAGGGACCACTTCATAGAGGAGTCAGGGTTAGCCAGAAGACCCCGTGTGATGTGGGACAGAGTTCCCCAGAATAGGCAGGGAACCGCCATGGTCCAGCCAGCTCTATCCTCAGGCTGTAAATGGGAGATGCAAGTTTTCAGAAAGGGGAGCTGGGCCAAGGGGGTGGGGACGAAGCTGCTCCAAAGTGGTGGGTGGAGCTGAGGAAGGAAGGAAATGTTAAGAGTGGCATCAGTGGAGATGCTGCTGCTGGGCTAGGGCTAGGTTATGTGATCCTCCCCATTGAGATTCAGTGAGGGCTTAAGGGTAAGTGGGGTATGGCCTTGGGTCAAGTACTGAAAAACAAAAGAACCCCAAGCAAGCAAAAATCCACGTTGGGCGGGTCAGCAAAGGACAGACTACATTGCATAAAAGACATAGGAGCTTCTTTCCAGGCTTGTCTGATCCAACCCCATTGAAAGGAGAAAAGATTGAAAGTGATGAGATCAGAGACGTCCTTTGGGATCTGGCCTTCTGTGCTAGCTCTTCTTTTATTGCCCCAAACTCGGTCTCCAGCAGGTCTCCCTACTTCGTGGGAGAACTCGTATGTATCCGTCAAAGCCCAACCCTGAGAGCACTTTTGATGAGCCAGCCAGCTTCCAAACACTCCATTACACTTCCACTTCAGCCCCAAAGCAAAGATACGAGTCTATCTCTTATAGCGCTCAGAAACCGATAGCAAGGACACTAGGGAGATGCAGTTACGAGAGTGCGTGGATAAGATAGAAACCAGGGGAGCCGCAGACTCGGGACTCGCAGGGGTCTGACGGATTGTCTTGAAGCCTCGGCTCGCTTGCAGAGGAAACGCGGCCTCTAGGGGGCGCCCGAGACCTTTGTGTGGGTCAGGTGCAGCTAGCGGCTGCGCCCGCGGCCCCGAGCCGAGTGACTCAGCCGCTACCTCTAGCGGAGGCGTGGGGGCTTGAGGACAGCGCGGGGGGTGGCGAGTGCGGCTCCCGCCAGCCCGGCGGCCCCGCGCGGTTGCTAAGCTCTCCAAGACCTCGGAGAGACCAGATGCCGGAGAACCTCATCGGTTACCATAGTAACACTGAGGGAAGCGCAGCCAATCAGAAGCTGTGGGAGGTCTGGGGGACACCCCCCCCATTCTTGGTGTGGGTGTGGGTCAGGAGGTGCCGGGAAGAGGCGGACCGTGGGCCACCAAGACGCGGTGCCTGCAGGCGTCCGCTTGCCTCCGCCCGGCTGCGCGGGGACACTTCCGGAGTGTGGTGGGGTACCTACCAGCCAGTGCACGTCCCCCCCTCCCTCTTTCCCTCCCTCCCTCCCTCCCAGAAGAGGCGTCACGAATGTGAATTGAATCTTCCTGTGGCGTGTAGAACCTTTTATTGGGGGACGGGGGTCCGGAGCCTCAGGCCCTCCTTGTCACCCGGGTCTGTCAAAACTGCTCAGACGGGTGATAAACGAGTTAGGGGGTCACATTCCATGAGACTCTCTCCAGCCATTTGCAGTCGACTATCCTGGGGTCCCTCCAGAGCAGTACCTCTACTCTGTTACACAGGGGTGCTCTACGTAAGCAGCCCCTGGAGTGTCCCACAGAGTCAGGACTCCGGGGGGGGGGTGTCTGTGCAAACGCTCCGCCAGCGAATGTCCCTGCCCTTGTAGGGTTTTATGAGCTGCATACTTATCACACGTGCCTGAGGGAGATTTGGGCTGTTTTTGGAGGGTGGGTCCAGGTGGATTATCCAGTCGCGTCCAGGAATACCTAATGTAAGTCCCCCAAGAACTTGTCTACCTTCTTTTAGGAGTTCCACAACCTGGTGTGTGTGTCCCCCGCCCCAACTCTTTTTTGAGACAGGGTCTCACGTACCGGAGGTTGACCTTGAACTCCTGGTCCTCCTTCTACCTCCAGCTCCCCGGTGCTGGGATTACAGGGTTGCGCCACAACGCCCAGCTTCAGAGTTCCCTTTTGGAAAGCAGGACTTTTCCGAATTGGGGCTATGTAGATATAAATGTATACTTCGGTGGCACTCATCTCAAAACCCCAGGGTTATGGGACTCCCAGGTCCCGAATCCGAGTCCCCAGGTGGCACATCTGGAAGCCTGAACCTGAGCTCGCCAGTTCAGCTCCGTATCTCCAAGCCTCCAGCCCAGGTGCGCCTGCGAGGTCGCAGTCCGGCCCGCAGGGTTCCGCGTGGCCGCGAGGTGGCGCCATAGTCGCGGTAGCGTCTGACAGTCTCTGCCGCTCCAGATAAGAGTGTGCGGAAAGCGCGGCGGGGCTGAGACGCGACCAGGACGCGGGGAGGACGGACCTGCAGGACAGACCGACCGGGCGCCCGGCGGGCGGAGGGCAGCGCAGCGCAGCCACGTCCCCCCCTGGATCTGCCGGCAGCCGGGCCCGGGGCTTCCGACATGCTCCCCAGGTGGGTCCTCGAGTTTGGCTACCCGGAGGGACAAGGGACCCGGGACAGCCTGGCGCTCGCGCGGTGGCCGCCTTGGGCGCATCTTCTGGCGCGGGCGCCCCCATCGGGGCTGGCGTTTGGAGCTCTGAGCGTCTTCCCCCAGAGGACTCAGGACCGCTGGGCCGCTGCTCCGCGCCGGGTTCATGGCGGGGTCAGCGGCCCCGGGCCGGCTCTGCCCGCACATGGGCTGGGGAGGAGAGGGGAAGGCAAGGGGAGCTGGCGGGCGGGGCTGGCAGGGGCGCTGCCCTGGCACAGCTCGGCGCCTGGCAGCGGGACGGGTGGGGCGCAGGCAAGGAGTTGCCACCGCCGCGGGGAGGGAAGCCGGGTTGGGCTGCGGCCGCAGGTAACGGACCGCGAGGCCCTGCGGGCCCGGCGGGGAATGGGGGCGGGAGGGCGAGCCAGAGGCCAGAGGAGCTCAGAACTCGGCTCCCGCTCCGCGGCCGCCTGGCTGCTGGAATCGGGGGCCTGGAGGGAAAGCTGGGAGCTGGGGGATTGGGGCTGGCGAGCTCCTCCCGCCCTGTCTGAAGTTGGGAAAGTTTTCCCCAAGTTTGGGGCGGTAGGGTTTCGGGGGAGAAGGGGCCGCGGGGAGCTGGGGAAGGAGGCGCCGAGTCGGTGGATGTAGAGCAGAGGCCCGGGGCAGGGTCCGGAACGCGGGTGGGGCGCAGGCCGAGGGTCAGGGCCGCAGCCGGCTGCGCGCCGTGCCCGCCCGGGGCGCTGCCCCCTCCCTCCCATGGGAGCTGCGTGGCTCCCCCCTCCCCCCCACCTGCTTCCTGCCTCAGCCTCCTGCCCCGATATAACGCCCTCCCCGCGCCGGGGCCCGGCCTTCGCGCTCTGCCCGCCACGGCAGCCACTGTCTCTGCTCCCCGCGCCGCGGTCGCCGGCCCAAACGAAGGCCTGACAGCCCCTGGCCAGGGCGGCGCCTCGATGGGCATAGTGCTCGGGTCCTCCTTATCACTTCCCCTAACTGGGGCAACTTCTCCCGAGGCGGGAACCGCTTCTTGCTCGGCTCCTTTTCTCCCCACTTGGGCAAACTTCTCGGCCCTGAATGACTTTTCCTGAAGCGGACATTTTACTTAAGTTGGGAAACTGTCTCCGAAAGGGTCACTTCGCCTGAACAGTTTTCTCCTGGGAAGTCCCCAGCACCTAGGCCGCGTGCCCAACAACATCTGGGCCTGGGGCAAATAGGCCAAGCCTGGTCTCTCCATCCGCAGCCGTTCTGCTCCTTCTGCTTGGGGCCAGCGGGCCTAGGCTTCCACTACCGCAGGCCGCTGATCCTCCTCTGCCAGTGCCCAGGCCTGGGTACTCCATGTCCTTGCTCAGCTGAGGGGAAGGGGAAGCGGAGGGGAGAAGTGCTTGGACCCGGCTGGGTACCAGCGACCAGGGCACTACACTGCGTGGCTCTTACCCAGCTGGTGTGTATCCCCGCAGGAGAGTGTGCTGGGCAGACGATGCTGGACACGATGGAGGCGCCTGGCCACTCGAGGCAGCTGCTACTGCAGCTCAACAACCAGCGCACCAAGGGCTTCTTGTGCGACGTGATCATCGTGGTGCAGAACGCCCTCTTCCGCGCGCACAAGAACGTGCTGGCGGCCAGCAGTGCCTACCTCAAGTCCCTGGTGGTGCATGACAACCTGCTGAACCTGGACCATGACATGGTGAGCCCGGCGGTGTTCCGCCTGGTGCTGGACTTCATCTACACCGGCCGCCTGACGGACAGTGCTGAGGCGGCGGCAGCGGCCTCGGTGGCCCCGGGGGCCGAGCCGAGCCTGGGTGCCGTGCTGGCCGCCGCCAGCTACCTGCAGATCCCTGACCTTGTGGCCCTCTGCAAAAAGCGCCTCAAACGCCACGGCAAGTACTGCCACCTGCGGGGAGGAGGAAGCGGCGGCGGCGGCTACGCGCCCTATGGGCGGCCCGGCCGGGGTCTGAGGGCCGCCACGCCCGTCATCCAGGCCTGCTATTCCTCTCCGGCCGGGGCTCCGCCACCGCCTGCAGCTGAGCCACCGTCCGGCCCCGAGGCCGTAGTCAACACCCACTGCGCCGAGCTGTACGCCTCGGGCCCGGGCCCTGCAGCCTCACTGTGCGCCCCGGAGCGCCATTGCTCCCCGCTTTGCGGCCTGGACCTGTCCAAGAAGAGTCCCCCGGGCTCCTCCGCCCTCGAACGACCTCTGAGTGAGCGCGAGCTGCCTCCGCGCCCGGACAGCCCTCCCAGCTCGGGCCCCGCAGCCTATAAGGAACCACCGCTCGCCCTGCCGCCGCTGCCACCGCTGCCCTTCCAGAAGCTGGAGGAGGCCATTCCCACTCCAGACCCGTTTCGTAGCAGCGGCGGGAGTCCGGGCCCCGAGCCCTCGGGCCGCCCCGACGGGTCCAGCCTCCTCTATCGCTGGATGAAGCACGAGCCAGGCCTGGGTAGCTACGGCGAAGAACTTGTCCGGGATCGCGGCTCCCCCGGCGAGCGCCTGGAGGCGCGTGGTGGGGACCCGGCCGCCTCACCTGGGGGTACCCCGCTCGGCCTTGTGCCCCCGCCGCGCTACCCAGGCAGCCTGGACGGGCCGGGCACTGGCGCTGATGGTGACGACTACAAGAGCAGCAGCGAGGAGACTGGTAGCAGCGAGGATCCCAGCCCACCCGGCGGCCACCTCGAGGGCTACCCATGCCCGCACTTGGCTTATGGGGAGCCTGAGAGCTTCGGCGACAACCTCTACGTATGTATTCCATGTGGCAAAGGCTTCCCCAGCTCGGAACAGCTGAATGCCCACGTGGAGGCTCACGTGGAGGAAGAGGAGGCACTGTATGGCCGAGCAGAGGCGGCGGAGGTGGCTGCGGGAGCCGCGGGCCTCGGGCCCCCTTTTGGTGGAGGCGGGGACAAGGTCCCCGGGACCCCAGGAGGCCTGGGAGAGCTGCTGCGGCCCTATCGGTGCGCGTCCTGTGACAAGAGCTACAAGGATCCCGCCACGCTGAGGCAGCACGAGAAGACGCACTGGCTGACGCGGCCCTATCCGTGTACCATTTGCGGGAAGAAGTTCACGCAGCGTGGAACCATGACACGCCACATGCGCAGCCATTTAGGCCTGAAGCCTTTTGCTTGCGACGCGTGCGGCATGCGCTTCACACGCCAGTACCGCCTCACTGAGCACATGCGCATCCACTCGGGCGAGAAGCCCTATGAGTGCCAGGTGTGCGGTGGCAAGTTTGCTCAACAACGCAACCTCATCAGCCACATGAAGATGCACGCTGTAGGGGGGGCGGCCGGGGCGGCCGGGGCGCTGGCCGGTCTCGGGGGACTAACTGGTGTCCCCGGCTCGGATGGCAAGGGCAAGCTCGACTTCCCGGAGGGAGTCTTTGCGGTGGCTCGCCTCACGGCCGAACAGCTGAGCCTGAAGCAGCAGGACAAGGCAGCTGCGGCAGAACTGCTGGCACAGACCACGCACTTCCTGCACGACCCCAAGGTGGCGCTCGAGAGCCTCTACCCACTGGCTAAGTTCACTGCAGAGCTGGGTCTCAGCCCCGACAAGGCGGCAGAGGTGCTGAGCCAGGGCGCTCACCTGGCTGCCGGACCCGACGGCCGGACCATCGATCGTTTCTCCCCCACCTAGGGCGCCTCTCGCCAGTCCATCTGACGCTGCCTGGTGGCCCGGGTCGTATAGTCCTGGGGAGCGGCGGCGGCAGCCCTCCGACGGGCCGCTCCCGGGACTAGTAGCTGCGGCGATGCCGCAGTGGGGTCCACTTTTCTGCGGCCTCACTGCTTTGTGCCTTAGCCTGGGGGTGCGAGTGTGTGTGGGGGAACCCCGGGGCGGGGGTGGGACTGGGGAAGGGAGATTTATATTTTTGATATCAGCTTTGACCAAAGGAGACCCCGGGCCTCTTCCTGTGGTTCGTTGGCCCCCTCCCCGGTTCCGTGCTGCTCTGGGGGCGGGAGAAGGGGTGTCACTATTCGGGCGCTCCCAGCCCTACCTCCGGCCCTTGCGACCACACCTATTCTCACTGTGAATCTCTCGGCTGGGGTCGGAGCGTCGGGCACAGTCGGGGAGAGGTAAGGGGATTGAGCCGGCCGGAGGGCCCCCCCCACCCCCTGCTCCTGCCCGCCCCGGGACTGATAATGTGAAGTTCCTCATTTTGCACAAGTGGCACTAGCCCCAGGGCCAACCCTTCCCTTCCTTACCGCCAGGGTGGGCAGTTCTGGAGCTAGGGTAGACAGCCCTGGCCCACCTGTCGCCACTCCCGCGGTGTCCTCCCTTCCCTGGGGCCCCGGACCATATTTATTGCATGCGCCCCGGGTGGCCCCTATCCTGAGTCCAGCCTTGGCTGGGCTGGAAGGAGGTCTCCTTAGTTCCCGTTCTCTTTCTTTGTATATCTCCTACCTTGTACACAGGCTCTTCCAGAGCCGCTTCCATTTTCTATACTCGAACCAAACAGCAATAAAGCAGTAACCAAGGTCCCTAATCCTGTGGCTCTCTTATAACCCAGTACCAGGGTGGGTAGCTGGGCCCCAACACAGGTGTACAGGCTTGGACTTGCCTCCCCTCCCCAGTCCCCAAAATAGACCAACAGGAGGTCAATTATGTTTCACAACTAAAAATTTTATTAAGGAAACAAAAACGAGGTTTCAAACAGGACAGAAAGAAAAAGTTTTTTTTTTTTCTCTCCCTCCCCCCCACTGGTCTTCAGAGCCTGGAGTGGGTGTGAGTTTCAAAGGAGTAGCCCAGGCCCTATATCTCAGCTGTCTTCTGAGTTCTGAGCCCTGAAAACTTGCACTCCCAAACCACTGTCCTGGGCTCTCCTGCACAGCCCCCGTCCCTCTTCCTAGCATGATCCGAACCTGGGGAAAGGCACAGCACCCTTGGGGAAGCACTGCTCCTCCAGGAAGGTGGTACAGTGAAGACAGTGGGCTGTGTGGTGCTATCAAGACCTACCCCTTCTCCATCTGAAACCACCTTCTCAATCCTTTATTTATCCTTATGCTGGATTGAAGGAACTCATTCTTGGTAGGAAGCCTCCAGGTGAGGCTGTGAACTAGATCCGGGGAAAGGCACAGCACCCTTGGGGAAGCACTGCTCCTCCAGGAAGGTGGTACAGTGAAGACAGTGGGCTGTGTGGTGCTATCAAGACCTACCCCTTCTCCATCTGAAACCACCTTCTCAATCCTTTATTTATCCTTATGCTGGATTGAAGGAACTCATTCTTGGTAGGAAGCCTCCAGGTGAGGCTGTGAACTATAGATACCAGCTAAAGGAGCAGCAAAAACCCCAAAGGCTAAAAGGCCTCTGTGTCTGGTCTGGGAGGTAGAGGGCCAAGCCAGCTTTGGAAACTTTTCATGGGGGTGGGGTGGGGCAGGAAGGGAGCTGGAAAGGAAGAACCAGTGGGAAAGCTTTATTCAGTTCCTGTCACAGGTAGATTCAGAATGAGAAGCCCCATAAGGAACTAAGGTGAGGAAGTTGAGGAGCCCTGGGAGGATGAAAGGGCCCAAGCAGATAGAAAGGGAAGGAGGACAAGGGGGTATACTGGAGGGAAGGCAGGCAAAGAAGGGGAAGAGTCAGAGGAAATTTCCCCCAGAGGGTACCAGAGCAAAAGGAAGGTCAAGGAGGGGACAGTATGCAGGTGGAGGGCCACCTAAGAAGCATGGGCTGAAGACCAGATGTCCCTTTCCTCTAGACCCACGACTGCCTAAGGGAAAAGAAGCAAACTCAAGGGGCAAAGATTGATGTGGACAGGAAGAGAAACATCAGGGCACACACAAAACACATTTTGGGTGGAGGACTAGGGCTGCTGTTAGGGACAAAACCCATCATGGGTCTTTGAGGAACTTAGGCCTCAGAGAGACGGAGACACCCCGGACACTCCTCTTCATGACACAGCCAAAGCCTCTCAGATATTCAGGACAGAGGTTCTGCAGACTGAGGGGTCGATAATTCCACCTGTATCTGATGGAAACTCTAGAGCCCCTGCCCCACTGCCACTAAAGAAAGTGGCTGGGTCCCTGGGGTAAGCAGGCATCCCTCCAGTCCTGGATCTAGAAAGGAGAAAGGATGAGAACTTGGTGGCCTGTCTTATCCACCTGTTGTCACTATAGCCAGCCACCTCCCTGCTAAATCTTGGCAGCCTAGGAGAGTCCCAGCAGCTTCCTTCTGACCCTGGGGAGGGCTCTGTGAGGAACAGCTCCCCCACAGCATGGCCACAGCGAAGGTTGGAAGAGGATGGTTTATTGTCTGGGTGGATTGGTGGCTCAGGCACCTGGACATCTTCCGTGCTACACTGGACACCTGGTGGCCTCTCAGGAATGGTTCCATGGGGGTGGACCCCAGTGTGGCTCCCTCAGCCCACCTGGGCCCATGTGAGGAAGGCTGGGATGTCTCTCACAGGCACATTTCTTGTCAGTGCCTTCACACGCAGGTTCCGGTCATCAGTCAGCAGCACCACCTCCCGTAGCAGGCGGATTGGCTCCTCTGTTGGCACAGAAAGCAGAAGGGCTCTACTGAGGACAAGAGACAGAGGTGCCAGATGCCTCTTCTTCCCCTGAGGGGAATATGGTCCTGGTGGGGGCAAATCAGTACCCAAACCTGCTGTTTAGAGGGCCATGCTAGGCCAGGGCTGTGCTGCTGCTTTGGACCCTCACCTCCTACACAGATGGTGACTCTTCTGCCTGGTACTTAAGAGTGCCTACTGGCCTCTACACACCTATCTCCTAGGACTCTGAATTAATGGGTAGAAGAAACCCCTTGCCATCTATACTTCTGAGTGTACTGCTGGCTCTGGGCTCCTGATACACCTCTTTTCATTATTCTCTCTTTCTAAGACCAGGAGGTCAATGTTTTATGCATCCAAAGGTAGAAAACTAAAGATGAGTAGAAAGTGGAAATGGTTTGCAGATGTGGGGAGATGGTTCTGCTTGAGAGTGCTCTCAGGCGAGGCTATGCTAAGGGCCCTTGTAGCTATGGTCAAAGGATTTCCTCTATTACCTAAAAGTGATCCATATATATCTAATAGTATGAAGGATAAAAAGGAAAAGTAGAGTCAGTGTTATCCTCCCAGCTGTTTTATATCCTAGGGGTAGCTCTGTGTATTCTTCCAGATTTCTTTATGTATATTTGTAAGTATACGTACTTGTGCTGGGTATGGTGGCACATGTCTTTAATCCCAGCACTTGGGAGGCAGAGGCAGGTGGATCTCTGTGAGTTCAAGGCCAGCCTGGTCTACACAGTGAGTTCTAGGACAGCTGGGGCTACGGGGAGACCCTGTCTCAAAAAGACAAAAAAAAAAAAAAAAAAAAAAAGTACATGTATATACATACACATATGTATATGTATATATATTTCCCCTACAACACTGAGCTCATACTAACCATACTTACTTTACTCGATTTTTATATACTTAACATAGCCTTCTGTATCATACAGATAGCCTTCATCATTTTTGATAACATTTTCCCCCTCTGACCAATGTACTGTAGGGAACTTAAAATGGGGCCAAGCAATCACACAAGCGACATTTCAAGCCTTGGACATTCCTGTTTGGGTGGCAGGTCCACTCTTCTGCCCCAGGCTGGGCATTTCCTGGTTGGAGGTCTGGCAGACAGCAAGCCACAGGAAATGTCCTGTGGTGCTCATGGACTTCGAGGGCTAGAGGGACTGAAGGATTGCAAACATCCATGTCTGACCTGAGTGGTTCTGGGGTTGCCAGCTCCAGGCAGGGAGGCTGAGAATTGGCTTTCAGCTGAAGGAGGAATTTGGGGAAGGAGGGAGAGGTTTGTGGGGCTGAGGGTGGTGAGAGACAAGGAGAGGAAGGAGGGCATGATGGAGACAGGGAGTTGTGGGCGGAGGGTGAATAAGGTGGCCCATGAGTAAGGGAGGTTTAGGACCCTTCCACTGTGTAGGCTGGAGTGTGAAAGTGGGGTGGTGGGGTGCTACTAGGGGTTCCCAGCTGCCTGTCTGGGTCTATTCCTGCCTTGGGCCTCAGACCAGGAGAGTCCTAGGCCTTAGGTCAGCCAACGAAGTCCCAGCATTGCTGGCAGGGGTCTATAGGGGTTTCTGTGGATACTTTGAGACGTTTTTAACAATAAACATCCTCTGTTTTGACACTGGTAACTTCACTTTGTTAGAAACCAGAGACTGTCATCTTGTCAGGCCCCATCCGCCATAATCCACATGATTTTAAAATTCAACATCGTTTACACATAAACATTTGGTGATGGTTTCTCTGTGAATCTGACAAGTTAATCTGCTAAGAATTCACACTGACAAATGGGGTTTGATTACACCAGCCGTTGCTGATGTAATTTTGATAGGGGCGGTCCCCAGGATGGCAGTGGGTTCCTGTAGGCTGTTTGGGGTAAAATAGGGGGGGTGGAAGGACAAGGAGAGCCTGAGTCCAAATGCATCTGTGCTAAGAAAGAAACAATTTGGAGACAGAGGAGTACAGGAGCTACTTCCCCATAGGGCCCTCTGCAATCCTGCTTCCTTCTCCCTCAGGAGGTGCCCCATGAGGAAGCTGCCCTGGGGCACAGCACAAGCTCCTCTTTGGGCTCAGCCAGGATTTTTATTTGTTAGTTGAACATTCCACATCTGGCCCTCAGGGAGGGTACATGCAAGCCATGTGGCAGGAATGGCAGTTGTGGACTTGTGACTAGACCCTCCTATAGAAATACAACAAAGAGTGAGAGCTGAACTAATGTGAAAGAGGAGGCAGGAGAGAAGACAAGCCCTTGGTTAGCCAGCAAGGGAGGACTAAGGACATGAACTGAGGAGGCAGAGGAGTAACATAGAAAGAAAATATCAAGAAAATGTCAACAGAAACTCGTTGATGAGAATTACCAGCTCAGGAGATGCTAACTGAACAAGGATGTGCTAGGAATGCCTTCTAAAAGAAGAACTGTCAGAATTCTGGGAATTAGTAGCTAAGTATCCTGTATGTCACTGGTCCAGTGGGCTGTGCAGGAAACTGAGGGTTGAGGGTGAGGTTGTCAGGCACTTGAGTTTCTAAGGTGGCCCAGAGGTGGGATTTTGCTCACCAAAAAATTCTTGAAAACTGGGCTGTGTGCTCCATTAAGTTCTCCCCTATCTCCAGCTCTAGCTGGTCTGTAAAATACTACAGCTCACTGCAGTAAAGATTAGAAAGAAAGGACCATTCCTGGCTAGGAAGGACCTCCACCCCAGGCCTGATACAGAGTAAGCTTTCAGAGATGCACTGAAATGCGTAGGAGGTAAGCACAGCTAAGACAATGTGTGTGAATGAGTGTGCCCACTAGAGCCCTATTCCTCAGGGCTGCAGAGGGCTGGCCTTAGGAGCCCATAGCCAGAACAAGCTACTCTGAATCATAAAGACATTCTTGCTTTCAGAAGAAAGAAAGGAAATGGATGCAAAACTGAGTGGGAAAGCTCACTGCCTAGAGCTGGGCTTCCTGGGCTAGGCTCTTCCCTAATTGGCCCCAGATCACCTGACATTCTCTG